GAAGGTTAGAGATCCCTTGTTGTGCATTCATATGCCTACATGACTAGATAGCTTGACCCCAACAATGCCGTGGACACTCCAATGGAATGCCGTTGACATAATCAAAGATCAAGGACCTAACCATTAGACATCAATGATGCCTCAGGTCAAAGGACTACTTTGCATATTGCAACTATTGAGTTCTCACATGACATGTATGTTCGAACTCTTGTTTGATCGTTGTTCAGTGTACTCGATTACTCTTTCGAGCACCTATGTGTTTGCCTTAGTGTCCAACACCAAATGACTTGAGACTAGTTCATACTCACGCTTGAGTCGACATAACACATACTAACCTTAGCGGATTGTCAATGCCCAATTGGCAATCCTATGGCTAGGAACGTTTTAGGAATGAACATAAGAGAAAGGTCTCGTTAATTTAACTAACTTAAATCACTTGTCTCTTAGATCAAATACATTCCTTGGATTCCCTTATTGCTTAAACACAAGATACTATAAATAGTGATTAACAATAAGCTTTGCCCTCTATTAAACATATAAAAGTTTAACACAATAAGTATTCCAAAAAGCTATTACATCAAATGAGTGGCTTTGTGGGCATACTTCCAACAGAATGACAATATCATCATCATCAAAAACAACACCAGCTGCAAAAAGATGGTCTTTAGCATCTTTGATCCTTTGCAAGTACTGAGAGACTGACTCAGACCCTTTCTTAATATTCTGTAATTCAATTTTCAACTGAAAGATACAAGCCTTTGTGATCGTAGAAAACCTATCCTTCAAGTTTTGCCACATTTCATGAGAATTAGTGCAGCCAATGATACAAGACATGGCGATGGTAGACAAAGTGGCAATGATTAATTGCATTAAAGCACGATCATGCATTTTCCAAATCTGAAATGCCTCAGTTTCAACACTTTCCTTATCACAACTTTCATCAAATTGAGATGGACAACATCGTGTGCCATCAACAAAGGCAAGTATGCCATGACTTTCAAGAAAAAGAACCATTTGATAACTCCAAACAAGATAGTTTGTATCATCAAGCTTAACAGTCATAGAATTTGACATAGTAGAAAATAAACTAGTAATAGGGGATTGCACAATCTGTAATTGAGCAGCATTCACCATGCTTTCACAATTCTTGATGAGAAATGAGGATATCGTAGAAGAAAATCTTGAGAAAACCTAGAAATTAGGGTTTCAAATGATACTGAATCTTGAAGAAATAAAGGAAGAATGGCAGATTGTAGAGATTTGCAGAAGAATTACGCAGACTTTCAATTACACAATTCGTCGAACACTTGGTGCGCACACTTCCAAGATGCACCAATTTGCACAAATGCACAGAGAAGAAGATCGCAAGCAATCAAGAACACCAAAAATTCATACCAGATTGGAGATAACTAGAACACAAAAGCAACATAGGAACAGGATAGAAGAAAGAATTCCATAATCGGCGAAGATACCATATCAAATGCGTAGAGATGATCAGAGATGAAGAACATAGATCAAAACTATAAAGAATCTAGAGAGAGAAAGAGACACAGATTGAAGAACAAGAGAGAGAGAGAGAGAGAGAGAGAAATCTTTCTGTGTATTGTTTTCATTAACCTTCAATGTAACAATACAAGACTATTTATACTATTGACTTTGCTTACAAACTAAGCTAACTGAATTACATAATCTTCTGACAAGTGTCACAATCTGAGACTTAAGCTGAGTTCTTTATATCTTTACACCCTTACCTCGTTTAAGAACTCTTTTCGATTGATCCACTCACCACATCACAAGGACTGGAGTTTCTTAACTGCTACGAAGTCATCCGAGGGCAGCATTGCTATGTAAACACTTCCAACTGAGCCTCTCCCAATGCAATATTTAGCATCAAAATCCTCAGTTGCTTTTATGATTTCTTCATGCAATATTTTTCCATCAATATTGACAATGCGAGCAATTCGAACTCTTCGGGTTGAATGTCACTTCGTTCGTTTTGTTGGAATTTCCTTTTTCTTCTCAAAGTGACATAGATTGCATAGAAAGCAATTATAAATACCACAAAAGCAGGAAGCATGATCAAGAAGTGCACAAAACCAATTTTCTAGTTAGGCTTTTATTTTCTAAGACTATTGTTGTAGGTCTGCAAACCTGTAACATTCCCACACAAACCTTTGTTCCCTTGCAATGCCTCTACTGGAGCCTTCTGAAATGCTTTGTTGCTTAGAATTGGACCCCATAACTGATTGGATGATACGTCAACAAACTCCAAGCCACGAAGTTCCTCAAAAGTATGTGGAACAACACCAGAGTGGTTATTGTGAGAGAGATTTAGTGTCACCAAGCTATCTTAATCACTAAATTCAGTTGGTATCCCTTCAGTAAGCACGTTATGACTCAAATCTAGCACGGACAGCTGCACTAACCTCCCTAACTGAGTTGGAATTTCATGGCTCAACTTGTTAGTGCTCAAATTCATGTGGTGCATTTTCACAAAGTTCCCTATGCTGCTTGGATTGACTGGCTCAAGTTGTTAGCGGATAGGATAAGATACTCTAGATCAGTCGGTGATCAAAGTTCTTGTGGTATACCACCCGAAAGTTGATTTTCATTGAGTATAAGCTTCACCAAAGAAGTAAGCCTTCCAAGTTCCATAGGGATCTTCCCAACTAAACGATTTGAAGAAAGATAAAGCAAATGTAGTTGAGTCAAGTTTCCAATCTCAGCCGGTATGAAACCAGTAATATTGCTCCCTGCAATCTCAAGATTTTTTAGCTGCAGAGACTTACCCCATTTATGTGAAAGTTCACCATAGAATCTTTTGTTGCTTAGATTTATGTAATCCAAGTTTGGATAAACACCAAATTCTCCAGATATGTTTCCAGTGAGCTGGTTTCCATCAAGGCAGGAGTCTATATAGGGTTGTGCAGTCCCTCAAGCTCTTGGGGATTTAACCTGTGAAATTTGCAAGAAGTCCACCCGGGCAAAGGCCCTCTGGCAAATGACCGGTGAAATTGTTTCTGGCAAGCCTCAGAACAACCAAGTTCATGATATTTGTTATCACTTAGGGAATGGAACCTGAGAAGCGGTTGTCATGTAGTTGTACAACTTGTATTCTACTCAAATTCGCAATTGACATGGGAAGAGGACCACTGAGTCTATTCTCCATGAGATTTAGAACAACAAGAGAAGTAAGCTGGCCTATTTCTTGAGGGACTGAGCCATTGAACTTGTTTTTATTTAGGTACAGGTCTCGAGATTTGTTAGGAAACAGATTTCGGGTGGAATTTTACCCGACAACTTATTATCCTCAAGATTATGAGTTTTGAGAAGGAGCTAATTTGAGGTGGGATGGAATCAAAGGGCTTATTTTTGCTGAAATCAAGGTATACAAGATTAGGGAAGGAAAAAAACAGAAATTCTTGTAGCGTACATTGTATACCGGAGTTGGTTAGGACAACAAGAGAAGTAAGCTAGCCTATTTCTTGCTGAAATCAAGGTATACAGGCTTGCATGAAATCCCAGTCCAAATTTTACATGGATTTTCATTAGCTTTTCGATTTCTTGAAGAATCGGTGGCATTGCTGGGAAGGTAAGTCCATGAGCTTAGATTTTGGAGCTGGGTTCGGTTTTGAATGATGGCTTTCCATTTGAGGAGAGCCTCTGCTTCACCATTAGAACTAGAAGAAGCGAACACAAAGTACTTTGGTGACAAAAGCAGCTGAACATACAAGATCAGGCAATAAGCAAGAGAGCATACGTTATCACAAGTTGGATTTCTCATCGCTTTCGTTTGAGCATACAATGTTTATTCAGGGCTTGAAGGATTTATTTGCAATGCCATTAGATGTTATTCTGCCATCCTGCTTATTTCAAGATGATGTGCTGAAGACTTTGAAAATACTTCAGTCAAACTCTCAAAAGTCTTTGGGAATGTTTGTTTCTTTCCACAGACTGTTCTTCCATTGCAACCTTGGAATTTTCTTGTTGAAATTACATGAAAATAATAGGCATTTGGTCCAAGTGAGGGTTCATTCCAAGTGACGTTGAAAACCCTCTAATAGTGAAGTTAAGGCTCCACACAAAAATCAATTAGCAATAGAGAGAGTAACCCGACTCCTGATAAACCATTGCAATGTTTCTTAATATTCCGATCACATCCTCACAATCTATTTATGACATTGTGGTACAGGATAACGGATGGTCGCCATCATTGAGTACCTCTCGCAGGACAAGGTCTATCCACACATACGAAATCTTGCAGAAGTCGGTATATAAAACATAAGAAAAAGAAAAAGAAATATGAAACAACTCTCTGCCATATATTTGTATTATTGATACAACCAGCAAAAGGGAGGTCTGTGACTATGAACAAATTATATTAAGTCTAAACCAGGATTATAGCATATACATATATAGCACAGTTAATTGGTAGCTACATATCTAGCCTGGACAAATTTATGGAGATTATCCAAGTTAAAATCCTTCTAACTTCCTCAACTACTAGAAAAATTCAGCACTCTACCTGTCCCTTCCCTTTATCGGAGATTTTGATTCGATCTGAGAAACGTCGTACATGGTGGGCCTAAACCGAGGATTTGCATGTACGCATGCAACTGCTAGCTTAAAGACAGTAGTAAGTTCAACCAGAACTATATCTGTAGGTGGTGCAATGCGATCGTCCAACAAATCCCCCAGCATTCTGCCTTCCCTGATTACGGGTGATAACAAACACCCGATTAGATTATTGGGGTGCTTTCCTTGAATCACTTCAAGTGCTAACACGCCAAAGCTGTAGACGTCACATTTCTCAGTTACCTTCAATGTGTAAGCGAACTCTGCCAAAAGGGTAAGTACAACAAAATTTGGATGTCAAATAGTTTTCTTTAAAAGATCTGCCTAAGAGCACAATTACAAAAGGAATTGATCTTATGTCAAATAATATGGCATGTTCTGCGTCAAATTATCCACCAATCAAGTGAATTTTTCTTCGAATGTGTAGTTCAGATAGACAGCTTAACAACATATGTAATGTAATGGAAGGCCAACAAGAAATTACCTGGTGCTACGTATCCAAATGTGCCTGCAACGGCTGTCCAGTTAGAAGAGTTAATCTCAAGTACTTTAGCAGTGCCAAAGTCAGAAATGCAAGCCTCATATTCATCGTCTAGCAAAATGTTCTTGCTGGATATGTCTCTGTGAACAATTGGCGGGGACACATCACAGTGCATGTAGGATAGGCCATGCGCCACGCCTTTAATGATATTCAGCCTTTTACTCCAATCCAATTTCTTAGCCTCCTCATCATTGTCCAAGATTGAATACAAGCTACCCCTTTCAAGGTACTCGTAAACCAAAAACGAGTGTTGTGAATGTGAGCAAAAACCATAAAGCTTGACAATGTTCCGATGGCGTATCTCAGTTAATATCTTTACCTCGTTTAGAAGCTCTTTCCGAGTGCTCCATTCACCATCAGCTGGAGTGTGGAGCTTCTTTACAGCTACCAAGTCATCTGAGGGCAGCTTTGCTTTGTAAACATTGCCAAACCCCCCTCTTCCAATGCAATATGCATCATCAAAATCCTCAGTTGCTTTTATGATTTCTTCATAAAACAACTTTCCATCAAAAATTGAAATCGTGTGCAGTTCAAATTCTTTAGGCTGCATGTCACCCTCTTCTGTTTGTTCGCATTTCTTTCTTCTTAATAAAGTGAGAAAATTCCACTGGAGGCAATTACAATTGCCCCCACCACAGTTGGCAAGATTATGTACACAACTATGGAACCAATTTTCGATTTATGCTTCTTTTCGCCAATACTATTGTTGCAGGGCACTAGACCTGTTGCATTGCCACACAAACCGTTGTTTCCTTGCAATGCTTCCTCAGGAGCCTCTTGGAGTGCTTTGTTATTTGGAATTGGACCCGATAACTGATTGTTTGATATGTCGACAAACTCCAAGCCGCGCAGGTCAACAAAAGAACTTGGAATAACACCAGAAAGGTCGTTGTGGGAGAGATTTAGTGTCACCACACTATCCAAACTGGAAAAGTCAGTTGGTATCTCTCCAGCAAGAATGTTATGACTCAAATCCAGCACTGACAGCTGCAGTAACATGCCCAACTGAATTGGCATTCCATGGCTAAACTTGTTTTTGCTCAAATTCAGGTGGTGAAGTTTTGCAAGGTCCCCAATACTACTTGGTATCGACTGGCTCAAATTGTTTGTGGACAGGTCAAGATACTCGAGTTCAATCAGTGATCCGAGTTCTTGAGGTACACCACCAGAAAGTTGATTGTCATTCAGTATAAGCTTCAGCATAGAAGTCAGCCTTCCGAGTTCCATAGGGATCCTCCCGACTAAATGATTTGAGGAAAGATTAAGCAAACGAAGTCGAGTCAAGTTTCCAATCTCAGGTGGTATGGAACCAGTGATGTTGTTCCCTGCAATCTCAAAATTTGTTAGCTGCAAAGACTTGCCCCATTTGTGTGAAATTTCGCCGTAAAATTTATTGTCACTTAGGTTTATGTAGTACAAGTTCGGATAAACACCAAAGTCTTCAGAAATATTCCCAGTAAATTGATTTCCATCAAGGCGAACTCTGTACAATGTTGTGCAGTTTCTCAAGCTTTCTGGCATTCGACCTGTCAGACGATTGCCATTTGCAGTGAAATTTGTAAGCCTTCCACCTTTGCAGATGTTCTGCGGCAAATGGCCAGTTAAATTGTTTCTTGCAACTCGGAACACAACCAAACTCTGAGATCTCCTATCACTTCCGGAATGGAACCTGAGAGCGGGTTGTCACGAATGTACAAAACTTGTAATCTGCTTAAATTACCAATTGACCTGGGAATAGGACCACTGAGCTTATTCTCCATGATATTTAGAACAACAGGAGACTTCATGTTTCCAATGTTTTCCGGGATAGGTCCTGAAAGATTGTTCCGATATAGTTCAAGCAAGGTAAGGTTCCTAAGGTCACATAAGGACTCCGGGATAGGACCTGAAAGGTTATTCCTGTAAAGGCTTAGATGGCGGAGAGATATCAGATTCCCTATTTCTAGAGGAATAGAGCCAGCAAGCATGTTTTCATACATGCATAAAAATCTTAATCTATTTAAGTTGGCAAGAGTTGGTGAGAAGGAACCTGTGAGATTGTTGGTGTTCAAGTAAAGCTCTACCAAATTCGAAAGGTTACCAATTTCTAAAGGAATGGAACTATTAAGAAAGTTCCTACACAAGTTCAAGTAAGTGAGATTGGTTAAATTTCCGAAAGAAGAAGGAATTGAACCAATCAAATTATTAGCGGACAAATCAAGATGGACTAGTTTGGAGAGTTGACTAATTTGAGATGGAATGGCACCAAAGATCAAGTTCACGCTGAGATCAAAGTATTCAAGATTTGGGAACAATGAGAATGAAAATCCATCGAGCGTACCTTGTAAGCCAGATTTCGTGAGGTTTATTTTGATGACACTCATGGCACCATTGCAAGAAATGGCAAACCAAGTGCATGGACCAGTTGCGTTGGAAGGGTGCTGCCACGAAGTTAAGCGTGCGTGAGGATCTTGAAGACCGGTTTTCCATTGAAGAAGAGCAGCAGCTTCTTCATCAGACATAGCAAAGTCAAATGCTGATGAACTGAAAACAATCAAGAACACGAAAAGGAAACTCAGAGAGCTTGAACAGTTCTTAAAGGTTGGTGATGGAGATGTTCCCATGGTGCTTGTAATGGCTTTAACATCCCACAGATGTTCTCGTTAACAAACTTATGAACAGAGTTTCAAAAACTTGGAAAATTCTTGGAGAAAATTGTTATTATCCATATTTTTAGTCAACTTGGTTTTTTCAAATTTTATATTGGAATCTGACCATTGAATTCAAAGAGCATTACAAATATCTGATCAAAGAAAAGAAATATTTTGTACTTCTAGAGTAGAAAATTAGATGGTGAATTACAAAGTTTAATTAATAACCAACTATGATGGTGGAATTTTCTTTCATATTTGATAGCATAATATATGTCAGAAAATACTGAGCCATAAAATTAACCAGAAATAAAAACAATACAAGTTTTTAGTTTATTCAAAAACACTTAGTACTTTGTTTTGCATCTTTTTTTGTTTTTGGGGCTCTGATGAGTAACGACTATTGTTTTATTAATTTAGGTTGAGACGTTTTGATATAGACGCCTCGTTTTTTAATTTTTTAGACTAAACATACACTCCTTTGAAAATTTAATCAAGCATTTTCCTAAAATTTCGATTAGTAATTTCAGTTTTTCACATAAGTTTATTTTGTTTAGAATTTTAGTTTTTCACGACTTTTCCTAGACATTTCATTTTTTTTTCTTTTCCTTTTATCCCTATATTTATGCATTTATTATCCATCTCTATGCATTTTTTTATAGTTTGTTATAATTTTACTTTTTTTTTGTGAATATAGTAGAATATTTATAAAAAAAAATTGTCAGATTTTATTATTTAGAAGACCCAACACATAATCAAGATTTGTTTGATTATATAGCTACATCTAGTTCCCTATAATATAGACACATTTAGTTTTATAGTGGATTTGATTTTTTGTATTTCTCGGTATATTTAGAATGCAAATGTACCAAAAGGTTTATCAGATAAAGACATTTAGTTTTGTGATACATTTGTGATTTTTTGTTCATTTGGTCTTTTGGTACATTTGGAATCTAAACGTACCAAAAAGGTTACCTGACAATGGGCACATTTAGTTTTATAATACATTTGGTTTATCTGTACATTTGAAATCTAAACGTACCAAAGGGTTGCATAACAATGGGTACATTGGGTTTTATGGTACATTTGAATTTTGTGTACATTTGGTTTCTCGGTACATTTGAAATCTAAATGTACCAAAAGTCGATACTTTTGTTCTCAAATGTACCATAAGTTTTAAGTATATTTATTATATATCTATAAGTGAAAAAATATGTATTGAAGATTTTTTATTGAGACATTTTTCATAGGAAGAGAATTTTTTTTTTTTTTTAAATACTGATAATAAGGTAATGAGGAATTAGTTAATTAATTTTTTATTTTATTTTATTAAAAAAATGTCATTTAATGTGTAGAAGGGGATTGACGAAATTAAATTCCTATATTGTAGGCAATTAGTTGCTAAGTTACCTTATGCCTCTATATAAATACATTTAAATTAATGACATGGAAATTAAATAAATACAAAATTATTGAGGTGGCAATTGATCAAAGCACCTTAATCAAATCTTTAAAAGGGATGAATGTTTAATCTAATAAGTATAAAAAAGATGTAGGGCATTCTAATTTTCCCATTTAGGTTTGATTGATGGAACATTGTTCATGTACATACACTGGCCGTTCCATCTTCCTTGTGTTCTTGATTTTGTTCCTGTTTTTTTCCTCTAGGTCATTTTCACCATTACCATGGTATCGCGACCGTTGATATATAAAAATGATTTACAGAACCAGATGAACTATTTTATGCAAATCGTTGAAAGATTACGAAACAAATTTTAGAGTAAATTACATTTTATTGCTTAGGTTTACGTCCGATTACAACTTTATACAGCATCTTTAAAATATTTAAATATCATACATTTATTAATATTTTATTTCAATATTACATAACCGTTAGTCAATCCGTTAACTTGACTGTTAAGTGATGATGTGACAAATCTGAAACTTACTTTTGTGCTGACATGGATGCTAGCCAACAAAATCAAAAAAACGAAGAACTCAAAAAAAAAAAATATCGTTTAAACGTAAAATAATTTAAACTTTTTATTAAAAACCGTGGGCCCCACCCCCTACCACCTTCCATCACCACTCTTCTTCCCACTCCGTCAGTCTCTTCCCCACCCATTTTTTACTTCCCTCACCGCCAGAACCACAACCAATTCCCCCGCCAAAACTACAATCATTTCATACTTATTTTGTTGACGGATATTGCATTGTGGTTCTGGCAGTGAGGGAAGTAAAAATTGGGTGGGGAAGAGACTGACGGAGTGGGAAGAAGACTGGGGATGGGAGTTGGTAGGGGGTGGGGCCCACGGTTTTTAATAAAAAGTTTAAATTATTTTACGTTTAAACGATTTTTTTTCTTTTTGATTTTTTTTATTGGCATCCATGTCAGTACAAAAGTAAGTTTTAAATTTGTCACATCATCACTTAACAGTCAAGTTAACGGATTAAAATATTTTAAAGATGTTGTATAAGGTTGCAATTACAACCAAACTTAAGGAGGTAACTGACCCTAAATTTTAATATACAATTTAAAAATTGAACAAAGTAAGATATTACAGGCACTTTAGCTGAGGTTTTTCTTTTTTTTTTTTTTTTTTTTTGTTATTGTACTTGTAGTTTAACAAGTTAAGTGAGCAATAGAATAACACATCATGAGACACGCAGCACACTTTCGCAGTGGCGCTTGTGAAGACTCGGCAACAGTTTTTAGAGGCTAAATCCTCAAATTAGTGGCGTAAGATCGAAAATTGGACCAAGTCATACCTCTGCACCCGTAGTACCACAAACAAAACGTCTCACGTTTGCTACATCATGTGAGTTGGTCTCGCATTTTCTCCTCTTAGCGGCTATACCAGGTCATGTGGTCATTCAGAGAAGTGGTGTGACATAGCAAAAATCAAAATCACGAGACGCGAGGCTTGCCTACACCCCTGATTACGCCGGTAACATCAACAAGGGCATGACTCCGAGAACATTCATAGCATTGCGGCGGCTGCCAGCAAATAGCTAATGATCAACTGTAACGCGCCACCACCCCTCTATTTTCTCTAATCCCAGATATGAAGATGCAAAACAAAAGTCCATGTGTTTTCCTATTAACTACATCAGCTCCCATAAAGAAAATGCTGCATCAGCTTCTATTAAAAATAACACTGCACCGGCAAGTGAATTCCGACCAACTTTAGGCAACTATAGTACAAAGGTTTCTTCTTAATTCAAGTCAGGAAAGAAGAGCGACAAGCGTACTGCCGGAAAATGATTCAGATATGGGCTAGAACCCTTCGGCAAGCCTGGCGGTTGCTGCCTTGAGCCGATATCTTCCCAGTCCAAGCATTAGAGAAAGTGTGGGGATAAGGCCGACCTCGTTCCGCTACATTCATGAGATTCTACGGTAAGGTTTATCCGCTGACACTTCATGGTGTCTTCCATGAAATACCAGTCCAAACGCATTGGCTTTGCATTTGTTTTCGGATTAATTGGGGTGTAAGTCCATGAGGTTGATAGGATCCTTTATTTAGTGAATTACTTGATCACTAAGAAAAATAGTTTTTTAATGTAACTAGAATTTGAGCCCGCGCGATGCCGCGGGTTGCAAAACTATGCTATACGTATGACATAAAAGCTATCTCTCAATCCATGCCAAAATGTTCCCAATCAAGATCAATCACAATTGTCACAGAGCAATGCTCTGTTCAAAGCTTCTAAAAAGGAACATAGCTACTAAGATGTAATAACTATCAAACTCATATAAATATAAACACATATTCCATTACATTTCGAGTAAACTAAAACTCAAAAACTCTTTTTGACATTGCATTGTAAATCCCCTTCTAGACCAGAAAAGATAACCATACTTCCAAAGAAATATTTTATACACAAAAATAGATAATCAGGTAAACATATTATCCATTGGTTTACCATATGTTTTCCAAACCGCCGAGACTACTAATTATGGCTATTGTCAATTTCATGCAAAATCAAAGAAATATTATCCATTGGTTTACCATATGTTTGCCCGAAGGCTTTTCTAGTGTTTACAGCCACTTCTAGTATAATTTAGTTTGACATTGATATTCAAAATTTTCATGCAATAAATTGGCAAGCGATGCTGAATACTAAATTACGAAAACAATTATATGTACTGGGCAAATGTGCCTTGAAGCTCAGAAATACAAAACACATAGCCAAAAACTCAGTAAAAAGCAAGGAATCGTTAACTCATTAAGGAAAAACAACAAAGAAAGCCATTGGGTTACCATCGTCGAATGGTCTCATTTTCCTTGAAATGGGGGTACTGCCCGAGCTTGAATTTTCATGCCCTGAAAAATTCAGAAAAAGAACATGTTTCAATCCCCAGATAGACGCATTCTATATAAGAAAAATACATGAAAATATAATGAAGTTCAGAAATCCAACCATGTTGGTTAAATTCCTCGTGCCAGGTCACTCAAGGATGACCTCCTAGTACATAAACTTCTAAGTGAGAGTTGACTTGGTTTCACAATTCCGACTCATGCGCATTTTTGTACACCATTTTGCACAGCCCTAAGATCCTGTATTACAATTTGAATTTCGGTTACACATGCATACACTACAAATGTAGTACAGTGATTTAAAACAAAGACTCTGACTTATCACTTGCAGTCATGTTTCCAATTGCTGCATCTCTTTGTTTTATTAATTTTTCTTTAGAATCAAACATAAATCACATAGATAGTTCAAAAACCTAAAAAAAGAAAAGAGAAATTACAAAATCATAGTGAAAAGCCCTACCAAAGCACATTAATTATCTAACTAATGAACGCGATTTGAGAAACAAACACCTGTTTGAGTGCTACCGATCAGATCTTGCCCTTGCATTGCTATTTCCACAGAGCACTCTCTACACAAAATCCCAAAAAAAAAAAAAAAATTAATACATAGTCCATGCACACACAAATCAACCAACAAATAAAAACAAAACAAAAAAAAAAAAATCTTCTTTTTCAATCATTTTCTCATATCGGGAACCACCTGCTAATACCCTTCATGGCCAAAGCACTAAGAATAATTCATATATGTTTTTCAATTTTCAAATCACATACAAAGTGGAATATAAATCTTAGAACTTTTAAGCTAAAAATAGATGCACTATTTTTCCAGACTCCCAAAGAAAAAGAAAAAAGAAAAGAAGGCAAGTGGAAGCACAAATCTTGTGAAATAATTATGAATATTCTATAAATAATCACATGCAGATCATTACCCGATTAATCACCAAAAGATCACAACATAAATCCACTGCTAGAAATTGAAAGACATAGCATATTATCAGTTCAAGATTAAAAAGAAAACAAAAAAAAAACAGAAAATTCACAACAAAGCAAGCCAATGAACAAAATCCACGAAGAAAATCTCAAAATTCCAAAACCTCTAAAGGATTATGAAAACAAAGACGCACCTAGAACTAAGAGCTCCGTGGAAGCTCCGTTTACACAAAAGCTATAACTAAATGTAAAATTTGGATTTTTACATTGTTTCTTCGTTTTTAACAATATTGGGGTTGCAAGCATATGGACGGTGGTATCTTGGCTTCAAATTTTGAATGTGTAAAGGTTGCTGTCATTTGATACACAACTGCAAAATTTGGATGCTCCAGTGGAAGATCAGGCAGCAAATTCAAAATTCAAAACACAAAAATCCAAATTAAACACAATTCAAAAGCGATTTAATAGTTACCAACGATAAATCCACCATGCATCTAATATAAAAAAATACAAAATTAAACAAAAAAAATACAGAAAGAAGAAAAGGGTACCACATATTTGCATGTCGCTGTGGCTCTTCAGAACCCACAAAATTCGAGCCAAAAGATGGTGGTGGCGGTGGTTCCGTGAGAGGCGGTGCCGCAGGGTGAGATTTCTTTAGCTGCAGGTATTTGCTGTCGTACAAGAAAACCCGATAGCCATGCGCAAACACATACAGGGAGAGAGAGAGGAGAAAAGAAGAATACATCCAGATGAAGTAGAAGAGTCGAGAAGAGGCAAAATCGAAATTATACAAATCAAGCAGGGGCAAAAAGAGAAGCACACTGCTTTAGAACAGTGCCACCCGAGTTTGGGTTTTAGGATATATAGAATTTGTTGTTTTGCCGTTTATGGAGTTTGTTAGTAAGTGGAATGCCTTGTTGGCACTTCTGGGTCCAGTCCCTTTAAACGGAGCAATAGCTCCCTCACTTTACCAACGGTTATATGAAAAACATATTTTTTAAAATGCACAGCACGTTTTCTATGCTCTTCTTCTTCTCATTCTCCATATTCCTCCATTACTGCAACAGGTTGAGGTCGAAACTCAGCTCCGGTTAACTGGTATCTGTCATTAGTATCACCCACCGATCCCGGCCTTTTCCCTCCTTGTATGCCCCGCCACAACCCCAACACCCGCCTCGACGTGATGGATGCTCGAGTTGCTGCGTTGGAAGCATCTGTGGATGCTCTCTCTGATTCCATGGATGCTCGCCTTGCCGCTTATTTGAGCAATTCCGGCGTGAATTAGCTTGCACGGGCGGGGGCGTCGGCTCCTCTTCCTCTCAGATCCTCACGGATCCAGCTAATGCTCATGATTTGGAACCCAATCGCACTCCTCGTCGTGATTTCTTGGATGCTGGTGGTGGTACGCCACGAGCTCAATGGCAACACCGCGTTGATTTTCCTCGTTTTCTTCTCGATGATGATCCCCTTGCTTGGATCTACAAGGCGGATCAGTTCTTCAATTATTATCCCACTCCTCTTCAATTATTGTCCCACTCCTGAACACCAGAAAGTGGTCACTGTCTCCTTCCATCTGGACGGTGAAGCTTTACAGTGGTTCCGATATGGATAAATTGCTTGCACTCTACTCCTCGCTGGGAGGATTCTACCAGGGCTTTCTGCCGCGAATTTGGTCCCAATGAGTTTGAGGATTGTGCTAAGACGCTATTCAAGCTTCACCTGAGAGGTACACCCAAAGATTATATACTCGAATTTCGGCGTTTGGCTAATCGTACCACTGATTTGGGCCATATACTATTGAAAAGTTGTTTCCTAGGGGGTCTTAAGCGTGAATTTAAATATGATGTGAAATTGTCGTCCTACTGATGTTCATGAGGCCATTTCTTTGACTACGCAACTTGATGCTAAGTTCACTGATCTTAGGGTTGGCTATACTAAGATTACTCCCAATTTTAGATCTCCTGCTACATGTTCCCATACAACCAACCCTTACCTTACAGACCAGCTAACTTGCCTATCAAGCACCTTACCCCTGAAGAAATTCAAAAAAAAAGGGAGAGAGGGTAGTGTTGGTTCTGTGATGCAGTGTGTTAACAAGCAGTTGCTTATGCTTGATCTGTTAGACACTGAGGAGGATAGTGAAGAACCTGTAGGTGAATTGCAGCCTGCCCTCCAACAAATGGAATTTAGCAAGTTGCATTCTATGGCACTACTGCAAAGCAAACCATTAAGACAATGAAAGTTGAGGGTGTAGTTAAGGGTCAGCTTGTGAAAATTCTCTTAGATTCTGGTAGCTCCCACAATTTTGTGGATTCTAGATTACTGAAAAGGCTTGGTTGGCAATCTTAGACAACCTTTAGTGGGTATAACTGTGAGATAGATCTATTTGCTTTACCTCTATGAGGTAGTGATCTAGTACTCGAGGTCTAGTGGCTTTCTTCAATAAGCCGTGTCGTCTGGGATTTCCAGCTTATGACTCTTGAATTCTAAGGGTAGTGTCCAATATAAACTCACTCATCTGGAGAGTGGTTCTCCCCTCATCCAAGAGGTTTTTTTGCACCAACTTGATAAAGAACTCAATAACTCCAATCTAGGGCTCTTTTTATACTCCATGGAGACCAAGAAGTTAGAGGCCTGTGATTTCAATCCCACTCAGTTATGTGACTTACATAATCTATTGGAACAGTTTGGAGACATTTTTGGCTTGCCTACCAAGTTACCTCCCTCAAGGGATCATGATCACCAGATTCCCTTAATCCCTTATGCTCAGCCTCCTAACATCAGGCCTTATCACTATGGACCACTCCAAAAAACTAAGATTGAGAAGGTTGTCAAAGAACTTTTAAATGTAGGTTTCATCAGGCCCAGTCACTGTCCATTTTCTTGTCTAGTACTCTTGGTCAAGAAAAAAGAGGGCACCTGAAGGCTTTGTATGGATTATAGAGAATTGAATTCTATAACCATCAAAGACAACTATCCCATCCCACTCATTGATGATCTTCTGGATGAGCTTTTTGGAGCTCAGTATTTTTCCAAACTTGATTTGGGGTCTGGTTACCATCAAATCCTCATGCATCTTGCAGATATTGAAAAAACAAGTTTTAGAACACATGAGGGCCACTATGAATTCTTAGTGATGCCCTTTGGGTTATCCAATGCCCCCACCACTTTTTAGAATCTTATGAATGATATTTTCAAACCTCATATGAGGAAATTCATTCTTGTATTTTTTATGACATTCAGGTTTATAGCAGGAGACATTACTTTTAGCATCTTACAGAAACATCAGCATTTTGTCAAGAAGAAAAAATGTGCTTTTGGTCAAAGTAGGATTGAATACTTAGGGCACATTGTTTCCAGAAATGGGGTTGAGGCTGACCCTTCTAAAATCAGGTGTATTGTGGATTGGCCTATTCCTGCTAATGTTATAGCTTTAAAGAGATTTCTAGGGTTGGTAGGGTATTACAGAAAGTTTGTCCCAGGTTATGGTAAGATCTGCCAGCCTGTTTACCAACTTACCAAAAGGGATAACCTTCATTAGACCCCTAAAGCTACAAATGCCTTTCAAACCCTTAAGGACATTATGGCATCTCCACAGGTCCTTACACTGCTCAATTTTAGTCTTCCCTTTATCCTAGAGTGTGATGCTTCTGAAAATGGCACTGGTGATATGCTCCAGCAGCAAGGCAAACCCATAGCTTTCAACAGTCAAGCTCTAGGTCCAAAAAATCAAGCTCTATCTACTTATGAAAGAGAGCTTATTGCCATAGTACGTGCAGTGAAAAAAATGGCAAAATTACTTATAGGAAAGGCATTTCATTATCAAAAAAAGACTATAGCAGTTTGAAGTATTTTCTGGATCAAAGGGCCAATACTCTATTCCAACAAAAATAGGTGTCTAAATTGCTGGGTTTTGACTATGAGATCCAATATAGGAAGGGATCTGAAAATCTAGTAGTTGATGCCCTATCTAGATTGCAGGAGCCTATTTCACAGGATGCAGGTCATTCCACTACCATATATGACAGTATGTGCTTGATGGCTGTGACTTAACCATATTATGGGTGGTTAGATGAGTTGAGAAGACATAATGAACATGATGAGTGGATTCGGGGAAAATTGCAAGAATTATCAAGTATGGATCCTAGCTTGGCTGCCAAGACTACTGCATCTAAGTTTAAGTTTGACAATGACTTTCTTAGATACAAATCTAGGATTATGATAAGTCCCACATCTCCCTGGAAGGCTAAAATCATAGAAGAGCATCATGACACTCCTATTGCAGGTCATCAAGGAGAACTCAAAACATATCAAAGGATAAAGAAGGGTTTTTACTGGCCTAGTTTGAAGAAGGATATCAAGTCCTATGTAGCATAATGCAATATCTGTCAACAAAATAAGTATGAAACCATATCTCCTCCAGGATTGATTCAGCCTCTACCTATTCCCCAACATGTTTAGCAGAATATTAGCATGGATTTCATCACAGGGCTGCCCCCTTTGTAGAGGAAAAACTGTGATTTTTGTTGTGGTTGAAAGGCTTACAAAATATGCCCACTTCATGGCTTTGGCACATCCATTTACTGCATCCTAGGTAGCTCAAGTGTTTGTTGACAATGTTTTCAAACTTCATGGCATGCCTGCCACCATTGTCATTGACAGAGATTCAACTTCCCTAAGTGCCTTATAAAAGGAGTTCTTCAAATTGCAGGGTTCTAAGCTCTGCATGAGTTCAGGCTACCACCCTCAAACGGATGGGCAAACTGAGGTGGTTAACAAGTGGGTGGAGACCTATTTGAGATGCTTTGTTGGAATTCAACCTAAAAAATGGGTGGAATGGTTGTCGTTGGCAAAATGGAGCTATAATACATCTTACCATTCATCTTCAAAATTCACGCCATCTGAATTGGTTTATGGTTATCTTCCTCCCATTATAACTGATCATGAAGTTGGTACTGCCAAATTGGACTCAGTGGAGCATTGCTTGCAAGAAAGGGATAAGAATGCAGGCTAACAAGCACAGAACTGAAAGAGAATTCTCTGTGGAGGACTTTGTGTATCTCAGGTTAGTTCCTTATCAATTACTAGGCTTTGAATTCTCACTCCTTCCACAAACTGCATCCTAAGTTTTATGGCCCTTATAAAGTATTGGAAAGAATTGGTCGTGTGGCTTATAAATTGCAGTGACCTGAGGGCTCTAAAATTCACCTAGACTTTCATGTTAGTTGTCTCAAGAAGCACTTGGGCAATTTGGTTCAACCAGTTGCAGTGTTACCAAATGTCACATGAGAGGATTCAGTTCAGGTGCAGCCTCACTCAGTGCTAGCTCGGAGGATTTATAAGAAAGGACAAGCTGCAGGAGTGCAACTGCTCGTGCATTAGGTTGGTCAAGTTGCTGAGGAAGCAACTTGGGAAGATTTCGACGAATTCAAGACCAAGTTTCCAGAGTTTCAGTTGTGAATCTTGAGGACAAGGTTGTCATAAGGGAGGAGTAATGATAGGATCCTTTATTTAGTGACTAAATCACTAATAAAAATAGTTTTTTTAATGTAATTTGTTATTTTGTCATTTATGGAGTCTGTTGGACTGGAATGCCTTGTTGGCACTTCCGGGTCCGGTTCCTTTAAATGGAGCAATAGCTCTCTCACTTTACCAACGGTTATATGAAAAATTTATTAAAAAAAAAAAAAAAAAAAAATACACAGCACGTTTTCTGTGCTCTTCTTCTCCGTTCTCCATATTCCTCCATTACTGCAACAGGTTGAGGTCGAAACCGAGCTCCGGTTAACTGGTATCTATCAGAGGTTTGTTTTTGAAATCAGGCTTTCCATTTGAAGAAAGCCTCTGCTTCAGTAAAATTAGCAGAATCGAAAGCAACATTTTGCACAGAAATAAGCTTGGCATACAAGATAATGCAGGCTAGAGAGCAAATTTGATCAAAGTTGAAGATACCATTCGTTTTGTTTTGGTAAGAAAATGTAGTTCAGGTGGCTAAATTTGTAATCCAATCTTCTGTTACTGTTCTGTTTCAGAGCTAAGACTTCTGACTATAGAGATGTCTCCTTTTCTTTCAAATCATTAAAACTCCGTCCATTTGATGAACGGTGCATTTTGTCGTTGAAACGAAACAAAAATAATTTGATAGGCAAGCCGTAACCACCTTGCTAATATCTGATGGCACACAAAGAAGTAAAGAACTTAACAAAATTACAAGACCAATGGAATTCCCAAGTACCATTACTTACGATGATTTGAAATGTCATGGGAAATTTCGTGCATGGTAGGCCTAAACTCCGGATTAGTATTTAAGCATACAACCGCTAGCTTTAGGATAGTAAGAACTTCATCCAGAATTCTACCAGTCGGATGCGCAAGGCGATAATCCAGCAAATCCGGCAACATTTTGTCTGTCGTGATTGCAGATGACAACAAAGACTCCACTAGAATGCTAGGGTACTTTCCTTTGATCACTTCCAGTGATAACACCCCAAAGCTGTAGACGTCGCATTTCTCTGTCACCTTCATTGTGTAAGCAAGCTCTGCGACAAAGGGTAAACATAGTTTTTTTTAGGAGAGAGATGTTGCATGAAATCGATACTTTAACAACACATGTTTAAATTGTATAGTAAGAAAAAATTTGTGGACTATTATATACTATGTATTACCTGGTGCTATGTATCCAATTGTGCCTGCAACTGCAGTCCAGTTAGATGAGTTATAATCTAGAACCTTAGCAGTGCCGAAGTCAGAAATCCGAACTTCATCTGCATCATCTAGCAACATGTTCTTGCTGGATATGTCTCGATGAACAATTGGCGGAGACACGTCAGAGTGCATGTATGATAAACCATGAGCCACACCTTTAATGATATTCACCCTCTTACTCCAGTCCAACTTCTTAGCTTCCTCATCATTGGCCAAGATTGAAAACAAGCTACCCCTTTCAAGGTACTCGTAAATCAAAAATGAGTGCCGTGAATGTTGACAGAAACCATAAAGCTTAACAATGTTCCGATGGCGTATCTCAGTTAATGCCCTTACCTCGTTTAAGAACTCTTTTCGATTGCTCCACTCACCACCATCACAAGGGCTGTGGAGTTTCTTAACTGCTACCAAGTCATCCGACGGCAGCATTGCTATGTAAACACTTCCAGCTGAGCCTCTCCCAATGCAATATTTAGCATCAAAATCCTCAGTTGCTTTTATGATTTCTTCATACAATATTTTCCCATCAAATATCGATATTGCAAGCAATTCGAACTCTTGGGTTGAATGTCACTGTGTTCGTTTTGTTGGAATTTCCTCTTTCTTCTCAAAGTGATATAGATTGCATAGAAAGCAATTATAAATACCACAAAAGCAGGAAGCATGATCAAGAAGTGCACAAAACCAATTTTAGAGTTAGGCTTCTTTTTTCTAGGATTATTATTGCAGGGCTGCAGACCTGTAACATTCCCACACAAACCTTTGTTCCCTTGCAATGCCTCTACTGGAGCCTCCTGAAATGCTTTGTTGCTTGGAATCGGACCCCATAATGATTGTATGATACGTCGACAAACTCCAAGCCACGAAGTTCCTCAATAGTATGTGGAACAACACCAGAGAGGTTATTGTGAGAGAGATTTAGTGTCACCAAGCTTTCTAAATCACTAAATTCAGTTGGTATCCCTTCAGCAAGCGAGTTATGACTCAAATCTAGTACGGACAGCTGCTCTAACCTCCCTAACTGAGTTGGAATTTCATAGCTCAACTTGTTGGCGCTCAAATTCATGTGGTGCATTTTCACAAAGTTCCCTATGCTGCTTGGAATTGACTGGCTCAAGTTGTTAGCGGACAGGTCAAGATACTCGAGATCAGTCAGTGATCCAAGTTCTTGTGGTATACCGCCCGAAAGATGATTTTCATTGAGTATAAGCTTCACCAAAGAAGTAAGCCTTCCAAGTTCCATAGGGATCTTCCCAACTAAATGATTTGAAGAAAGATTAAGCAAATGTAGTTGAGTCAAGTTTCCAATCTCAGCCGGTATGAAACCAGTAATATTATTCCCTGCAATCTCAAGATTTTTTAGCTGCTGAGACCTACCCCATTTATGTGAAAGTTCACCATAAAATCTGTTGTTGCTTAGATTGATGTAATCCAAGTTCGGATAAACACCAAAATCTTCAGATATGTTTCCAGTGAGCTGGTTTCCATCAAGGCGCAATCTGTACAAGGTTGTGCAGTTCCTCAAGCTCTTGGGGATTCGACCTGTGAGACGGTTGCTATTTGCAGTGAAATTCACAAGCAGTCCACCCCGGCAAAGGCCCTCTGGCAAATGACCGGTGAAATTGTTTCTGGCAAGCCTCAGAACAGCCAAGTTCATCAGATTTGATATCACTTGGGGAATGGAGCCTGAGAGGCGGTTGTCACGTAGTTGTACAACTTGTAATCTGCTCAAATTCGCGATCGACATGGGAAGAGGACCACTGAGTCTATTCTCCATGAGATTTAGAACAACAAGAGACTTAAGCTGGTCTATTTCTTGAGGGACTGGGCCATTTAACTTGTTTTTATTTAGGTACAGGTTCTCGAGATTTTCTAGGAAACAGATTTCTGGTGGAATTTTACCCGACAACTTATTATCCGAGAGATCAAGATATATGAGTTTTGAGAGGGAGCTGATTTGAGGTGGGATGGAATCAAAGAGCTCATTCTTGCTGAAATCAAGGTATACAAGATTAGGGAAGGACACAAACGGAAATTCTTGTAGCCTACCTTGTAAACCGGAGTTGGTAAGGTTTATCTTGCTGACACTTCCTGCAGGATTACACGAAATCCCAGTCCACATATTACATGGGTTTTCATTAGCTTTTTGATTTCTTGAAGAATTGGTGGCGTTGCTGGGAAGGTAAGTCCACGAGCTTAGATTTTGGAGCTGGATTCGGTTTTGAATGCTGGCTTTCCATTTGAGAAGAGCCTCTGCTTCGTCGTTAGAACTAGCAGAAGCGAACGCAATGTACTTTGGTGACAAAAGCAGCTGAACATACAAGATAAGGCAATAAGCAAGATAGCATACCTTATCACCAGTTGGATTTCTCATGGCTTTTGTTTGAGCATACAGTGTATAATCTGGGTTTGAAGGATGTATTTGCAATGCCATTAGATGTTATTCCGCCATCCTGCTTACTTCAAGATGGTGTGCTGAAGACTTTGAAAATACTTCAGTCAAACACTCAAAGTCAAAGTCTTTGGAATGTTTGTTTCTTTCCACAAATTGTTCTTCCATTGCGACCTTTGAATTTTCTTGCTGAATTACTTGAAAATAATAGGCATTTGGTCTAAGTGAGGGTTCACTCCAAGTGACGGTGAAAACCCTCTATTCGTAAAGGAAGTTAAGGCTCCACAAAAAAATCAATTAGCAATGGAGAGAATAACCCAACTCCTTATAAACCCTTACAATGTTTCTTAATATTCCGATCACATCCTCACAATCTGTTTGACATTGTGGCACAGAATACCGGATGGTCGCCATCATTGAGCACCTCTCGCAGGACAAGGCGCATTCACACCTAGAAATCTTGCACAAGTCGGTATATAAAACAAAAAAGAAAAGGGAAAAAGTCTTAACCTTCTCACCGTGGCCTACAAACTCACAAGCCGCAAGCATATAAACTCAGATTTTTCTCTCTAGTTGCTACATACGTACTTGCAATCCGCTTTTAATTTTTCTTTTTTTGGTGCTAACTAACCCTTTTTTTTATTCAAGTGATAATCTACACTAAATTAATATAAACTAAAGGAAACGAACATTGGTGCAAAACAAAAGAGAAAATTACTCAAGTCAACTTGACTACTTGAAATAGTAAGGTTATATATCTAAATTTACATGACACTAAAAAAAAAAAAAAAAAAACGAAACAACTCTATGCCAGATATGACACGCCCCGACCCCAATATTCCTTGAATATCAGGATAGGCACGTACTAGCCGACACCCGAGGGTGACGAAAACCATTTATTGAGTGTAAATACTGAAAACAAAGGATAAATAAGGTTTATAAATATAAAAGAATAATTAATATGCAAATAAGGACCGTGTTCAGAGCACACCACTAATCTAGAACACTAAAAGAAAAATAATATAAAATTGAATGAAACGAAGGAGTGGGTCCTACACCGAGAAGACTTGAAGATGCCGATGCGAAAGTGCCTGGACGTCGGGATTGTATGCCTCAATTCTTAGTCCTGAAGGGGGCGCAAAACAAACATAAGTGGACCAGGTTGACATATATATAATAAAACAGTTATCAACATACAAACCCCCAGGTTTTATGAAAACACATATATATAATGATAAACATAGGTTTTCCGAAACCTAGCATGTCGTGCAATGTCTCAAATCATACTTCGCATAAATAATAAACACTAGTAAATATCCGATAACTCTTCAGGCCCCATGCCGGCTTCCCGTCTCTGAGCCGACAGTCAGAGGAAAATACACTTCAGGCCTCATGCCGGCTCCCCGTCTCTGAGCAGACAGTCAGAGGAAAACACACTTCAGGCCCTATGCCAACACCAAACCGTCGCCCGGGACGGACCGGATCTATCCCTACGTCCCGTAGCGGAAAGGATCACTAGGTAAGTACAAAACCAGTAAACATACATATATTGAAAATCAACTTTAGTATAAAGTCATGCATCATCTATGCTATAAAGAGGTGTTCTAAACATGTTCTAAATATCATATCGTCATCCATCAGATATTCTATAAGAACATGGGTTATAGGAAAAATAGTAGTAATTCAAACTAGCCTCAGTAAGCATGTTATCTCGTAAAACATTTCATAAAACATAATCATCAAATCATGCTTTTCATGTATGCATTTATACTATCAAAACATGCATTTTTAGAAGGGGTCCACTCACAGTACTTCACCGTCGAAAAGCCACGCCATCTAGCGAAGAAGGAAACGCCACAGATAACGCCCCTAAGCACATAAATGGCACATTTAGTCAAACTCTACTCAAACGACTGAGTTTAGGAAAACGAATATCGGAAACGGGTTCAGGACGTCGAAATTAGCCTAGGAGAGGTCCCGCACGAAAACCCAAAAAGTCAACGGACAAAGTCAACGTTGACCGTTGACCGGTCAAAGTCATAGTCAACGCTGACCGTTGACCGGGTCCGGGTCAACAGGTCAAACGGGTCTGGGCTTGGATCCGGATTGGGTTAAAGGGTTTGGACTTGGGTTGGATCCGGATTTGGGCCTAAAAGGGTTTAGGTCTAATGGGTTTAGGGTTAACGGGCCAAAGGCCCTAAAGGGAACGGCCCAAAGGCCTTTAAATTAACAAAACAAAATAAAAATAAAAAAAAGGGTTGGGTTGGGCTGCCCAGGGTTTTGGGCTTGGCAGGAAAGGCCCAAAGGCCTTGGGTTTTGGTGGTTCGCCGGATTCCGAGGAAGGAGAAGGCCGGTTTTCAGCCGGAGAATTCTCAAGCTCTGTTGGAGCTCAAAACTCAACCAAAACATGTCATTCAATATACCAAATTGAAGCCCCGAAGGTAACGAATCCAAAAATATACCCTTGGTTCCCGTCATCATGGCCGGAGTTGGCCGGAAAACAGCCTGGAAGCCACGGGTATCCGCCGGAAACTGGGTAAGATTCAAATGAGTATAACTTCTTCAATACTTAATGAAATTGGGTGAAACAAAAAGGAAAGTTGTAGTACTCAGCGAGACGACGAGATTGATACCTAGCACGCCGGCCAACTCGCCGTGGTTTGGCCGGAAATTGCCTCTAAATGGGCGGTGCTCGCCGGAAAACTGGGAAATGTCTCCGGGGTGGTTTCTTCGTGATTTGACGTCCAAAACACAACCACGGGGTTAGAAAAGAGCTATAGGTGTGGGCATGGGTGTGTGTGTGTTCTGCTCGGAGGGAGGGAGAGGAAGACAAAGGGAAAGAAAGAGAGAAGAGAGACTTTTCAGAAAAAAAAAAAAAAGAAAAGGGAAAGGGAAAGGAACCGGGAACAAAACAGGGGGTGCGCCCCTTGGGCTCACCAATTAAGGCTAAAAAACAATTTAAAAAAAAAGAAAGTATCCCTCAAAATTAATGAAAATACAAAAATACCTATTTTTTTTCATAAATTTCAGGACGGATTGTTACAAGATATTTGTATTATTGATACAGCCTAGGTAGGTGTGTGACTATGAACAAATTATATTAAGTCTACACCAGGATTATAGTATATACATATATACCACAGTTAATTGGTAGCTACATATCTAGCCTATACAAATTTATGGAGATTAGCCAAGTTAAAATCCTCTCTAAATTCCTCACCTACTACACAAATTCAGCGCTCTACCTGTCCCTTCTCTATATCGGAGATTTCGAGTGATATAATCTGAGAAATGTCGTACATTGTCGGCCTAAACCGAGGATTTTCATGTAAGCATGCAACTGCTAGCTTAAAGACAGTAGTAAGTTCAACCAGAACTATATCTGTGGGTGGTGCAATGCGATCATCTAACAAATCCCCGAGCATTTTGCCTTCCCTGATTACTGGTGATAACAATGACCCGATTAGATTACTCGGGTGCTTTCCTTGAATCACTTCAAGTGCTAACACGCCAAAGCTGTAGACGTCACATTTCTCAGTTACCTTCAATGTGTATGCAAACTCTGCCAAAAAGGTATAAGTAGAACAAAATTTAGATGTCAGACAGTTTTCCTTGAGAGATCTGCCCAAGAGCATATAAAAGGAAATGATCTTATGTCAAATAATAAGGCATGTTCTGCGTCAGATTATCTATTGATCAGGTGGATTTTTCTCCGAATATGCAGTTCAGATACAGCTTAACAACATGCGTAATGTAACGGAAAACCAACAAGAAATTACCTGGTGCTACATATCCAAACGTGCCCGCAACTGCAGTCCAGTTAGAAGAGTTAATATCGAGTAGTTTAGCAGTGCCAAAGTCGGAAATGCAAGCCTCATATTCATCGTCCAGCAAAATGTTCTTGCTGGATATGTCTCTATGAACAATAGGCGGGGACACATCAGAGTGCATGTAGGATAATCCATGTGCCACACCTTTAATGATATTCAGCCGTTTACTCCAATCCAATTTCATAGCCTCCTCATCATTGTCCAAGATTGAAAACAAGCTACCCCTTTCAAGGTACTCGTAAACCAAAAACGAGTGTTTTGAATGTGAGCAGAAACCATAAAGCTTGACAATGTTCCGATGGCGTATCTCAGTCAATGTCTTTACCTCATTTAGAAGCTCTTTCTGAGTGCTCCATTCACCTTCAGATGGAGTGTGGAGCTTCTTTACAGCCACCAAGTCATCTGACGGCAGTTTTGCTTTGTAAACACTGCCAAACCCCCCTCTTCCAATGCAATATGCATCATCAAAATCCTCAGTTGCTTTTATGATTTCTTCATAAAACAACTTTCCATCAAAAATTGAAATCGTGCGCAGTTCAAATTCTTTAGGCTGCATGTCACCCTTGTCAGTTTGTTCGCATTCATTTCTTCTTAGTAAAGTGATGTAAATTACACAGGAAGCAATTACAATTGCCCCCACCGCAGGTGGCAAGATTATGTGCACAATTTTGGAACCAGTTTTCGATTTATGAATCTTTTCAAAAAGACTATTGTTGCAGGGCGGTAGACCTGTAGCATTGCCACACAAACCATTGTTTCCTTGCAATGCTTGCACGGGAGCCTCTTGGAGTGCTTTGTTACTCGGAATTGGACCACATAACTGATTGTTCGATATGTCGACAAACTCCAAGCCATGCAGGTCATCAAAAGTACTTGGAATAACACCGGAAAGGTTGTTGTGGGAGAGATTTAGTGTCACCAAACTAACCAAACTGGAAAATTCAGTTGGTATCTCTCCAGCAAGAATGTTATGACTCAAATCCAGCACAGACAGCTGCAGTAACATGCCCAACTGAATTGGTATTCCATGGCTCAACTTGTTTTTGCTCAAATTCAGGTGGTGAAGTTTTGCAAAGTCCCCGATACTACTTGCTATCGACTGGCTCAAATTGTTTGCGGACAGGTCAAGATACTCGAGCTCAGTCAGTGATCCGAGCTCTTGAGGTATACCACCAGAAAGTTGATTGTCATTCAATATAAGCTTCACCATAGACGTCAGCCTTCCAAGTTCCACAGGGATCTTCCCGACCAAATGATTTGAGGAAAGATTAAGCAAACCGAGTTGAGTCAAGTTTCCAATCTCAGGTGGTATGGAACCAGTGATGTTGTTCCCTGCAATCTCAAAATCTGTTAGCTGCAAAGACTTGCCCCATTTGTGTGAAATTTCGCCGTAAAACTTATTGTCACTTAGGTTTATGTAGTCCAAGTTCGGATAAACACCAAAGTCTTCAGAAATATTTCCAGTGAATTGGTTTCCATCAAGGCGAACTCTGTACAATGTTGTGCAGTTTCTCAAGCTTTCTGGCATTCGACCTGACAGACGATTCCCATTTGCAGTGAAATTGTTAAGCCTTCCACTTTTGCAGATGTTCTGCGGCAAATGGCCAGTTAAATTGTTTCTGGCAACTCGGAACACAACCAAATTCATGAGATCTCCTATCACTTCCGGAATGGAACCTGAGAGCAGGTTGTCACGAATGTACAAAACTTCTAATCTGCTCAAATCACCAATTGAAATGGGAATAGGACCGCTGAGCTTATTCTCCATGATATTTAGAACAACAAGAGACTTCATGTTCCCAATGTTTTCCGGTATAGGGCCTGAAAGATTGTTCCGGTATAGTTCAAGCACAGTAAGGTTCATAAGGTCACATAAGGACTCCGGGATAGGACCTGAAAGGTTGTTGCTGTAAAGGCTGAGATGGCTGAGAGATATCAGATTCCCTATTTCTAGAGGAATAGAGCCAACAAGCATGTTTTCATACATGTATAAAAATCTTAATCTTTTTAAGTTGACAAAAGTTGGTGGGAAGGAACCTGTGAGATTGTTGGTGTTCAAGTAAAGCTCTACCAAATTCGAAAGGTTACCAATTTCTAAAGGAATGGAACTATTAAGAAAGTTCCTACACAAGTTCAAGTAAGTGAGATTGGTTAAATTTCCGAAAGAAGAAGGAATCAAACCATTCAAATTATTAGCGGACAAATCAAGATGGACTAGTTTGGAGAGTTGACTGATTTGAGATGGAATGGCACCAAAGATCGAGTTCACGCTGAGATCAAAGTACTCAAGATTCGGGAACAAGGAGAATGAAAATCGATCGAGCGTACCTTGTAAGCCAGATTTTGTGAGGTTTATTTTGGTGACACTCATGGCACCATTGCAAGAAATGGCAAACCAAGTGCATGGACCAGTTGCGTTGGAAGGGTGCTGCCATGAAGCTAGGCGTGCGTGAGGATCTTGAAGACCGGTTTTCCATAGCAGAAGAGCAGCAGCTTCTTCAGCAGACGTAGCAAAATCAAATGCTGATGAACCGAAAACAATCAAGAACATGAAAAGGAAGCTCAGAGAGCTTGAACAGTTCTTAAAGGTTGGTGATGGAGATGCTCCCATGGTGCTTGTAATGGCTTTAACATCCCACAGATGTTCTTGTTAACAAATTTATGAACAGAGTTTCAAAAACTTGGAAAGCTTACTTCGTTGTTTTGCAAAATTTCTTGTGATGAGACCAATTAATTAAGACTTCAAAACTTAAAAATGTTCTCGGAGAAAATTATTATTATCCATATTTTTAGTCAACTTGTTTTTTCAAATTTTATATTGGAATCTGACCATTGAATTCAAATTTTTCTTCCATATTTGACAGCATAGAATATTTCAGAAAATACTGAGCCCATAAAACAGAGATAAAAATAATACAAGTTTTTAGTTTATTCAAAAATACTTGGTACGTTTTTTTTTTTTTTTAAATTATAAAGAGAAAATCTACTATTGAATGAGTCCAACATGTTTTTTTTAATACTATAAAATCAGAAGAGAAAATTCTAGTAACGGTCCTTCAACTTTAATCCGCTTAGAGAAATGGTCCCTCAACTAAAAATTCATGATCATTGATCCCTTAACTTATTAAAATGTACAGTTATGGTCATTTTCATCAACTCTGTTAGAACTTCCGCCAAAATGAATCACGTGCATGGCACGTGACATTGAATTAAGGTGCAAATATAGAAAACAAATGAGAAAAATTGTAGCAATGGTCTCTCAACTTTAACTTAGTTGGAGTAATGATCCCTCAACTTTAATTCAATTGTAGCAATGGTCATTCCAACATGACCCATTTGACGGAATTCTGATGGATTTGAGAAAAGGGACCATAACTGTACATTTTGATGAATTAAGGAACCAATAGTCATGGATTTTTAGTTGAATGACCATTAGTCCAATTGGATTAAAGTAGAGGAATTATTACTACAATTTTCTCAAAGACAAAATCCAATATTGAATCAAGCTCAATGGTACCTGTTGTTTGTTTTTTGTCGTTATGCTTAAAAAAATTTCATTAAATTTGTTTTATTAAATTTTTATTTAGTGAGAATATCTTCATTAAAACTCCTTAATTTCGTTAAATACAAAAGTAGAAGAACGTAACTTAATTTATTTGTTACACTTCATTTAGAATCACTAGAAAATGGCAAGCAACCTACGTGTTAGAAAAGACTCGAAGTAGGATTGTAAGGAAAAAATAAAAACAGAAATTTGACTTGAAAAAGATATCCAATTTGTTTACATCTTTTCGTTTTGGAATCAGATCTTAAAGTAACAACTATTGTTTTATGACAGAGACGTGACGTAAGTTCTTCAAAAAGATAACCACTCGAAAAATATTTCATTTTATTGTTTGCATGTTTTGATTTATGGGGGTCGGATTAGGGATGGGCAATAGTTATGATAGGCGGCTAATCGTGGTTATTTACCTATAATCATTTATGTTTATAGCTGTATAACCGTTTACCCGTTGGGTAATTGCTATAAACGGTTATACACATACCCATAACCGTTTATAAACGGTTAGCCATACTCATAACCGTGTACTCATTTAACCATAACCGTTTACCCATTCAACCATTTACCCGTTTACCCATTTTTGAACTCGTTTATCCTTTTTTTATCCATTTACCTCTTTTTTTTTATCCGTCTACATGTTTTTTTTTTTTAACAACTTGAAAATTACAAAAGAAATATTTGTCATAATTTTTGTTTTTTGACAATTAAACACCGTTATAGGTACATTTTAGCATGCATTTCTCTATTTTAATCATTTAAATCCTCATACAATTCAAATAATTGAAATAATACTTTATGAATGATATTTTTCTGCTACATCCAAACAAATCTTTAATTATAATTCATATGATTACAAAGTAAAGCTTCTGAAAATAAAAAGTAGTTATTATCTTAAATACTAGATAATTCAAAGCTTCAAAATATTCCGAAACTAAACACTTTCGAACACTAATGTTTTAGCAAGTTGAATCATAAAGTCTCATCAAAGTCTTTACCATCCAACTTTCATTAGGTGACCTGAGCTTACAAATTTTGAAATTGATTTTTTTTAATTTTGAATTTTTTTTCAGCCACAAATTTTGAAATTGCATCGACTAAAAGTTTTGGGTTTCTATTTGAACATTACATCCTATCTGACTTACAGACTTTTCTATTTACACTCCATTTGTAACTTTGAATTCTCATTAGGCGAACTCGAATCATGGAACCAAGTCCTGGGAACAATTTTTTTTTTTTAAATTTTACACATATTAAATTAAATAGGTAAATGGATATCTATTATAACCGTGGATAATACTCATAACCAATTGGATACTTGTTATAACTGCAGGTAATACCCATAACTGCCTATTTAAATTTCACAGATAAACAATTATACCCATAATTATTTGTTTGTCTAAACGGTTATCCATAACCGTAACCGTGAACTTTAAATGGACGGGTAACAATAGTTACCCAAACCCATGGGCATTGTTCTAAAAATCCCCGCCTAGCGCCGCCTGAGCCCCGCCTAGGCGCTAGGCGGCTGGCCACCGCCTCAATTAATGCCTAAACATTTGAAAATTAAGAAAAAACGCTTAGACCTGCTAAGGCTCCCGCCCAGACCCGCCTGGGTTGCAACTCACTTAGACAAAAAATAGATAACTTTCATTTTGCATTTTGTTTTTTTCAAAAAATTATAAGAGACTTGTTGAATACTTAAATGAGCACACATTATATGCGTGTTCCTATGTTTTCCTTATGTTCAAATACTTCATAATATATATGTTAATTTATTTTGTAGTTCACAATAAAATTATATATATTTTAAGTATAAACAGACACTTATTTACCCGTGAGTATCTTTGCCCATCCCTAGGTCGGATCTTAGAACAACGACTGTTGTTTTATGAAATTACGTTTGTTTGATGGAGCAATGATCTGTACAAGAGACATATCGCGTGCCGTTGATATACGAAAATGATTTACAAGACCAGATCAACTATTTTATGCAAATCCAAGAAAGATAACGATTTTAAATTTACTATAAAATTCCAACATTGAACAAACTATGACATTACAGGCAATTTAGTTGACCTTTTGTTATTATATTTCAAGTTGAACAAGTTAAGTGAGCAATAGAACAGCACGTCATGAAGCACGCAGCACACTTTGACACTGCCGTAGGATCGACAGATTGCGTCTTGTGAAGACATGGCAACAGTTTTTAGAGGCAAAATCCTCAAATAGTGGCGTAAGATTGAAATCGGACCAAGTCAATACCTCTTCGAGGACATTTGCTTCATCATGCAGAGCACATCTTGCATTTTTTCCTCTTGGCGGCTATACAAGGTCACGCGGTCATTCCGAGAAATGTAACATAGCAAAATTCAAAATTGCAATACGTATTACATTGTGATTATAGCATCTAGGAGTTTTGACAATGGTATCGAGATAATCTTACAAAGGCCCAAAAGAAATTCACCTAATTTAAAGAAAAATTGCGCACTCCTACACTCACATAGCTTAATCACAATTATTACTTAACTTGGTTCAACATGAATAATGTTTCACATAGCTGCACAAGTACCCTGTCAGTAATTACCTAAACATACCAACTATTGCATCAACAAGAGCATGACTCGAGAATTTTCATCGTGCTGCGGCGGCTGCCAGCAACTAGCTAATGATCGATCATAACCCGCTCACCACCCCTACTAGTCCCAGAAAAGAAAAGCAAGACAAAAGTCGATGTGTTTTCCTATAAACTGCATCTGCTCCTATATGGTAAAATACTGCATCAGCTCCTACTTATAAAAAATACTGCATCAGCTACATGCAATGGCAAGTGAATTCCGACCAACTTAGGCAACCACAGCATCCACGATTCCTTTAAAGGACCAAACTTTTACGATCAGTGAGCAAAATCAGTGTGATCAGGGGAAAAATCAAAAACCAATGGATAAAGACTGGAAACATGAGTTTTACTCTTACCAACCAGAGTTTCATGAAAGCAAAACAGGTTAAGAGCAGACCGCAATCAGCAAGAACATGACATTGACATCTACCATTTGTGTAGTTAAAATAGCACCAACAGCTAGTACAGCATCTCGTCAACCAGCAAGTTCACTATTCCCGGAAACCACTAAATAAGGCCGATATAGCAAGTAGGAAAAGACCAGACTGCAATCAGCGTGGACATGACACATTGACATCTACCTTTTCTGTAGTAAAAATAGCACCAACAGCTAGTACAGCTACAGCATCTCGCCAATCAGCAATGTTCACTCTTCCCGAACATCACTAAATAAGGGCAGTATATGGACACCATAAGTATACGAACAAAGCACATTTCAGTTTAAGGAAAGAAAAAACGAACACAGGTAAAAATAATAGAGCAGAAAAAACACCAGCAATCAAACAGCTTAAAACAAATACGAATAGAAAGAAACCAAAAAGATTAAATATTCTGAAGAAAAAAAAAATACAACTATAGAACCTAAAAAAGTTGCAATGTAAAACTATAGCAAGAAGACTCCCATCGCATGGGCGGCGAAGGCCATCATAAAAACTACAGCAAACACTTTATATTGTACCAGCCCATTAATAAGAATACAAAAAGCTACAATCAAACTTAGATGAGTTAAAAAACTCACTCTGTCCAACAAAGAAATGTTTAACCTTCAACAAAACTGCAGGAAGTCAAAAGTAACATTCAATACGTTGATCCATAATATAAAACTCATCCTCCAACAATGAATGCAGACACAAGCCCTCAAGCCAAAAGTTATCATCTCGGGCCACAAGTTGAGAGTCCATCATTCCTGCAGAACAAATATAACAACTTAAACGACTATACAGAGACTTATTCATCCAATAGTATGTTGCAATCCAACAAAAGGAACAATTAAATGTCTGTCTTGAGGTTTATGGGCTTACATCTGCGTCAGATTTACGAGGGGAAGGACTTGGAGAATCATCACGACGTCCATGTGGTGAATCATCTTTGGGGGTAGGAGAGCGTTCCTTGCGGTTGCGTCCAAAAACATTCTCACCCCTAGGTGGTGTCGTACGAGGAGATGCACTTCTCTGAGGAGATGCGCTCATTCGAGGAGATAAGCTCCTCCGAGGAGAGGGGCTCCTCCGAGGAGATGGGCTTCTGCGAGACTTGGAGCTATTCCGAACAGGAGAGGCACTTTGAAGTACACAAGGTTTGCATCAAATGACACATTAGAAAGGTAAAATAGTTCATGATAAAAGACATAAAATAGAAGCAATATTTTATACCTTCCATATGACCGGCTCCGACTACGCCGCTCATCATCATATCTGCCCCTCTTACGATTACCAGGACTTGCACTGCGGCTCCTACTTCTGTAGCGATGCTCTCTTTCACTCCTATGGTGCCTGTCACGACTATACCTCTCCCTACTTCGACTGCGACTTCCATAATCCTTTTCCTTATATTCATCTCGATACCTAACAAGTTTTAGGGTCAGTTGCTGCAACATAATTTCCACAAATTTTGTAGACTCATGTCAATGGTACAGCTTTCCATAAACACACAATTACTAACATATATGGTTGCATTAGATACCAAAAACAAACACCGTAAATCCATGTAAAACGTGTTCTGTGAGAATAGAAGCCTAAGTCGTAAGAACTGTACTGATCAACTCAATAGGAGGAAAAAATGCCACCTCCAAGGAACATGTGTACCAAGAATCAAATAACTGAAACAGAGACATCGCTCTCCACCCAAAAGCATCATGCATCATGCAGCGTTAATAAATAGTTAAGAGCTCTCCGTCAACAGCAAACAAGAAAGACGATGCAGAGGCTCAAAACAATTCAAATTCAAAACAACTGAGCCCACTTGAGCCCAAGAGTCGTCTTCCATTATGCTAGGACCACCACTCATGAAAACAAAAACAGTAACTTATGCACAAGCCCCCAGTTAAAAAGACTAAACAAAAGAAAACAGTGAGCAGCTAAAAAAGACACAAATATCCCCCTTGATAAGTCCAAACCGATACACCTCTCACCCTATGCTACAACAGCATATGACCTTGCACATATGCAGTCCACTTCAATGGCAACTGATAACTATCAACTGCTAAAGTTAATGCCTAGATGTATTAAAGCAAACAGCAAGCTACAAATACCAACTAAATACACACACATATTATTCAGAAGGAACTGAGAAATCAATATGCAGTAACGCAGGACTAAAAACACAACATTAGAACACAAAATATCACTTTTACCCAATTCTAGTTCAAACCGGAATATAACGATTTCTGCTCCACGCAATTCCAGCAAAGAAGAAATCTTACCTAGGACGAGGGCTACGGCTTCGGGACCTTGATTTGAGCTTGGAAGTTGATTCACTTACCCTACCCTTGTGGCTACAAAATCAAAAGTTTCAAATTGTTAAAACAGCAAAACTCCAACAAGAAAAATCAAAACTTGCAACAAACCAAATACACAATACCCATAATATCAAACAAAAAACTTACATTCGCTCCGCATTGGGGCCGTACTTAGCAAACTGAACCATAATCTCTCTTCCATCAACAACTCTCCCTGAAATCAGATTCAATTAATTAATTAATTACAAAACCCTAGCTTCTAAGTAAGCTCATAAGAGGCCTATGAGAGAGAAAGAGAGAAAGAGAGAGAGAGAGAGAGAGAGAGGAACCATCGAGCTTCTCCACCGCCTTATGCGCCTCGTCCTGATACTTATATCGGACAAAAGCAAATCCACGAGAATCGCCAGTCCTCCGGTCTCGGGGAATGAAGACATCGACGACCTTGCCGTACTTGTCGAAGAGCGGGAAGAGGTCGTCCGCGGTGGTTCCTGGTAAACACAAACCAAACAAAGAGAGAGAAAGAGTGTCAGAGAGAGAGAAAGAGAGTTAGGGTTTTCAGCAAGGGGATGGAGGAGGAGGAGGAGAAGGGTAAAAGGGGAATTACGGAAAGTGATGTTGAGGACGAGGAGTGAGTAGGTGTCTCTGATGTCCGGAGGTCCGGATCGACCGAAGTGCGACATCTCCGAGAGGGATTGGAGCGGCGTGCGTGTTAGTCTGCGGCGGACTAGGGATCGGGAGCGCTAGGGTTTGTGATTTGTGGTGGGGGATTTTGGGAGCACAGTGAAAGGGATTTAAGATACTGGGGGGCATGTTGACGAATATGCCCCTATTTTTGGTTCTATATTCAACGTATTTTTGTGGATTACTCTGTTTACATGACTTCATCCGGTTTTGTCCGCTTTCCCGCCAATATGTAGATTCCATAAGATGCAACGTTTCTTTTTTTTTTTTTCTAAACTAAAAATAATATTTATGTTTCTCTCGTGGAAACCTACTTGTCTCATCATTTACGATTAACAAATATTTACAGTCCAAACATTATAATTATAACTTTTTATTATCTTTGTCATCATCTAAAGGTTATAATGCAAAAAATTATTCAATTTGAAATTCTTGTAGGCATTCATATGCATAAAACCATACACTTTATCAAGAGGATGATACTTGTTAACAAAACCATAGATTGGTTCGACACATATAGAGTCTAAACAATCTCCAAATTAGATGATATTTTGCAAATATAATCTTTAGACGATGCTAAAGAGAATAAACAATTCGAATTATGATATTCGAATAGTAAAAATTTATTAACTGTAAGTAGGACAAGTAGGTCATCTCGTGGAGGAAACACAAGCATTATCCCAAGAGATATAGCATCTACCATCATTAATGGAATCGATAAGAATTTTGGAGTCTTCAACGGTTGTATGAGAATAGCCAGCTCGAACACTATATCTTCATAAGCGATGACATCAGCAGTACCAAGATCTAGAGGAATGGACCACCATGAATGACGAAACTGGAAGCTGCATATGGCAGATGAGAATAACAGAACCATTAAAATTGAGCTTGACAGAAGAGTAATGCTATCATATTTTTCATGCTATATGTGTACCATATTTTTTATGCTACGTTTGTATTACATTTTTAACAAAGTTAAAGTCTATCAACGCATGTATCTCATTAAAAATGGTACAAATATAATATAAAAAAATATAATAAGAATAACATTTTTATTAACAGGATGATACAAAGTGAAAGCAAATAATACTGGTGGTATGATCTCTTCTTTTTACATGTGTTGGTACGTTGGTTTGTGCCTCACATAGCCCACCAAGGAACCTCAAGGCGAGAGGCCCAATATGTTTTTATATAATGTCCTCACTGTATCATCGGGTATGTGCAAGCTGTCCTTTACATAATTACGGGATGAGCTTTTGTAACTTGAGTCCTATTTTATTCCAATGCCGATGGTTAGCCTATACCTATACAATTATTTCAAACTCACAAAATCTTAACACATAATATTTATAGTCAAACAATTGATCTCCAAGCAAATGAAGTATCTAATAAACCTTTCTTTATATGGACTATGATATATATACAACACGGATTGAAGATAATAAATTGGTATCGAACTCATTATTTATGAGATTCGAATCCAAAATTTCTTATTTATGGCTCACTACACTTCACATCCTTCAAGTTTAGGATGATCCTCAAAATAGACCATGAAGTTTTAATTTTCTCATTTTGCACCTTAAGGGATTGAACTTGTATCAATATATCCTTTCGGTAGGGTTGATCATTTGATCCTTCATTATTAAATTGATGAGATAGCATAAGAAACTTATATGTGCTAACGTGTAAGCTATATTTGCACGACAGTGACAAAAAAAACTCATCAATTTGATGAAGAATTAGATATTTAAAGAAACAAAAGATACAGATTTAGTTTAAAAGATCAGAGTCTAATGTGAGAAAATTATAACCTCATAACATATTTGAAAACCACATCAAATTTAAAGGGTTTAAAATGTAGATATATAGCCTTAAACCTTATATATGGACAACTTGAATAACATTAGCTTTCCAGTTTCTACCATGTTTCTTTGGGGTTTGAGTATTTCTTCTCAATCTTTGTTTATCTGCTAGAGTAAGTTAAGGCCCCGTTTGGTGGGTATGATGGAATGGGATGGGTTATTTCTAATTAAATTAGATTTGTAGCCTAGCCAATATTGACGAGAAAAATTGTAATACGGACTGGATTGACTACAAATCCGAAATAAGGAAAAATATGATGGGTTATGTAACCCAACCACACACATGGTTTATGTAACTCATTCATGCCAATCAAATCCTATCACTAAGACCAATCTCATTTAGGCCACCAAATGATAAGCTCATATTTATATATATTTTACATCAAATTCACTTGTCTTTTCTTAGTTAGTTCCTTATATTTTTGAGCTATTTACTTTGTTTTTGTGTTTTGTAGGATTTGTCAAGCAAAGAAAAGAAAAATAGCACAAGTGGGATTTTAATTAACAAATTCGTCAAAACTGCCTGTGCAGGTCAGTTGATTTTGGAAGCAAGCTGCGGACAGTTCATAATGAATTAGAGAATGAGCCTTATATTCTTGGAAAGTTACATATGTCTATTTTCTGGAGCATTTCACGGATTGATAATATCATTTTTCTAGAAGAAGTTATGGTCGTTTTAACACTGAAAGGTTCCCAAGAGGCTGAGCAGTTTGTAACTGACAAGAAAGCAACAAAAGCAATAAACCCAATAAATCTAGCAACCAAAACTGATGCAGTCAAGAACAAACCAGTTGACACTTATTCAAATATAAAAGGGAATGGAATTAAAGATGAGGATTAAGAATGAGTATTTGGCATAAAGGCTACCCAAGGAGTTACAATTGTTTTACCATTTCCCCTCACTTATTGTCATCACTAAATGGCTATTAGTGGGTGAGTTAAGGAGAAGAAAATGATGCAGCAAGAATTGGTTTAAAAGTAGTGTTGGGGAAGGAAGGAAAAAAAAAAGCCTTAGTCGATTTCTTTCGGTTCTTTTTTCTCAAACTCATGTCTATCTTTTGTTTTAACTTAAGGATTGTGTTACTAAATTTTTAGTAGTTTGGGGCTGTTTTGAAGCCCCGAATATGATTGCAAGTTTGAGATGATATTTCGTTTGAATTACTTTTATGAATGGATGAAAACAGATTCACTACTTGTCTCATTGATGAATTCTTTATGTGTTTTCTATGGATGCATACTTAGTAAGCATATCTAGGATTCTGATGCTATGAATATGTGTGTGCATGCCCTTGTCGAATGAGGACCTACATATGTTCTAGAGTAGTACTTGTTAATTGCGATTAACATGTGAATCAATTTCTAGGATAAGTAAGACAACGCTAGTACTTACGATGCCTTGTGATGACTCAAACTCTTTTCGTTCTTAATGATTTCTAATTGTTAAATCTATGAACACTTCATTCTAGATTCCATGCTAGGGACTAAGTTAAGTTGAAAATGTCATTCTCTTAACATACCACATAAGAAAGAGTAATAGGTTGAGTTCTAACATTGAGCCAACTTGAGCATCTTCATCCAGAAATAAAAGGAATTTGAATGAAACATAACATGTTTGCATAATTATTTGGTGGTGGATAACACATCCCATAACTCGTTTTTCTTAATTTGTGAACTACTTAAAATCTGTTTTTGTCCTTTTTTTTTGTTCAATTTAATTTAAATAGCAAACCAACTCCAAAAATCCCAAAAATTTGTGTGTGTGTAGCTCTGTGTGTCTAGTGTTTTCATATAAAATTTCGTAGACTTTAGATAAGTATAAGTTAGTCTAATAATTATTTTTCAGTGGCTGGTTAGTAGGGACAGTAACCCAGTTTTTGTGACATTTTAAGTAGTTGGATAAAACAATCTTCTGCGGAAAAGACCCTTATTTTCATATGCTACAATTGACAAATCTTAGTGTTAATAAGGAAAAACAATAGGACACTTGTGTGCTACTTTGTGGTGTGCTTTTAATCCTATCACCAAACGAGCTATAAGTTCTCACCACTTCTTGAAGTTCAAACTCAACCCCCTGCATGAATCTCTTGTACAATTTTTGTCTTAGGGGTGTAATCAAATGACTCAAAATTTTCATGTCAAAGAAGCTTTTGTGTGGAAAACTCTGTCATATACTCTATATGGTGAGTTGACGTTACAAAAACTTTTTAAGTCTGCTTTTTAGTGTTTTATTTTTTTTTTATTAATTTAAGCTATTTTATAGGGACCACTTAGTAGGTAGTACTACGATCTAGTGATATTTCTCTTCACTTATAAGTGAAAGGTCTTATGTTCGATTCTCGCCAAAAGTGAATTTGAACCACATTATTGCTAGCTCATTGTGAGGCTAAGCACATCCATCTCCCCTTAGTATAGATAATATCGTTTGTTTAAAAAAAAAAAAAAAAACCATTTTAAAGGGAAAAAAAATGTAAAAGATGAATATCTTATTTACAAGGTTCTAAAAGAAGTTAGGTGCTAGTTGGGCGGTGAACTGGGGTCTAATGCCTAGGTGAACTAGGTGGATTTAAGTAAATCTGTTATATTTCATATAAATAAGTATTTGTTTATACTTAAAAGACGCTAGGTGCTAGTCGGACGGTGAGCTGGGGTCTAGCGCTTAGGTGAACTAGGTGGATTTAAGTAAATCTGTTATATTTCATATAAATAAGTATCTGTTTATACTTAATATATTATGAAGTATTGAAACATAATGAAAACATGGGGACACAACACATATAATGTGTGTTCATTTAAGTACTCAACAAGTCTCTTACAATTTATTAAAAAAATAATGCAAAATGATAGTTATCTATTTTCTGTCTAATTGAGTCGCAACCTAGGCAGGTGTTTAGACGGGTGCCTAGGCGGTCCATGCTGGTGCCTCAGCAGGTCTAAGCGCCATTTCTAAATTTTCAAATGCATAAGCATTAATCAAGATGGTGTCCAACCACCTAACAGTGCTTATTTATCATATCAATTTACCGCTTATCGCTTTTACTTTTATGGCTTTTCTAGTAGTACTAAGTATTGATTGCCACTTAAGTACATATCAAATAAAAGACTGATTAATTACCACTTAAACACATGCATATTGATAAAAATAAAATAAAATAAAAAAATAAAAACAAGTTATAATTGTCGATGTGCCTCCTAAACTTGTATAGAG